TTTTGGGGTGTTTCTTTGGCTATCCCAATAAGTCTTCGGATCTCAGTGTCACTCTTTCCTTCCTCTGTTAAAACACTTCCCAGATATTTAATTTTTTTTACTTGCTTGATTTTTGTATCTTCTATTTGAAACTATGCATTCTGTTTTCTTGCAGTTGATGTTTAATCCTTTCTTTTCGCTTTCCTTCACTGTCTTCTATAGGAGATTTTTGTAGCTTTCTTTATGTGTCTGCTATCAACACTATGTCATCTGCATATCCTATAGAAATTTTCCAAGCGTAGTTTAGATGTGGCACAAGGCCGAAAGTATGGGGCATCCAGTGAGAATCGAACTCACTTTTCAGTAGTAACTGATCTAGCAAACCAAGCTCGCTAACCATTACACCACGGCGACATGCCCCATCTGCATATCTTATATTGTTAAGATTGTAGCCGCCAGTAATGTATAATTAATCCTTATATTTTCCTATTTCTTAATACTCTGCTTAGCTTTTGGAATGCATCTTTGGCTATCCCAATACGTGGCACGGTGGCATCTGCATATCTTATGTTGTTAAGATTGTGACCGCCAATAATGAATCCTTGTAGGACTTCTAGTTCTCTCAGTTTATAGTCTATCTGAAATTTTCCTATTTCTTAATACTCTGCTTAGCTTTTGGAATCTATCTTTGGCTATCATACATCTTCGGATCTCAGTGTCACACTCTCCGTTCTCTGTTAAAACACTTCCCAAGTATTTAAATTTCCGCATTCGTTTGATATAGGTATCTCCGGTTTACTTTGAGCTAATCCTTTTGTTAACAATCATGAGTTTAGAACTTGGTGCTTAAACCATAACTGCTTACTCAGGAGTCGTTTTGGTCTTTTCGGGACCGTTCCAAGTGCTCCAAATATTTTTTCCTTGCTTTTCTCTTTTATTCTTTTTTTTTTATTTACCTTATTCATTTTTTTCTTGCTTCTGTGGAGATTTTCCTGCACTCACTCTCATGACGTTTCGTAATCTTTTCCTTGGTTTCGTATTCTCCTTTGATTTTAAAATTCTTCTTTGGATATCCCAATACGTCTTCAGATCTCAGTGTCGCTCTTTCCGTCCTCTTTCAAAACATTTCCCAGATATTTAAATTTCCGAAATTCTTTGATTTTGGTGCTTCCGATTTTCCCTTCGCACATTGGGTTCATCATTTTTGCTAACAACCCTGCATCCTTTCTTCTTTCAGTTGGTGTCTAATCATTTCTTCTCTCTTTCCTTCACTGCCTCTTGTAGGAGTTTTTATAGCTTTCTTCCTGAGTCTGCTATAAAAAAATGCATCATATGCATATCTTATGTTGTTAAGATTGTGGCCACCAATAATGAATCCTGGTAGAACATCTAGTTCTCTCAAAATCATCTCGCTCTATGTTGAATAAGTCCGGTAAGAAGATAGATCCTTGTCTTATACCTTTTTTATAATGTTGTATATTTGCTGAACTCATTTTTTAGCCATATGTACACCGTTTCCTGCCAGTATAAGTTCTTGATTATTGTGAAGAAATGTAGCTTCGAGCAAACAGAAAAATGGGGACATTTGTTTGGTTTTGTTTGATTTGTTTTACGGCATATCATCACCTAAATGGGTTATTTAATGCCGACAAGATCTTTATTGGTGTTAATATTTTTTTCACAAATGTATTGTTGATAATTTTTTTAAAAACAAATATTGCTGGTAATATTTTATTTTCAAAAATGTATTGCAGATAATATTTTTTCAAAAATGTATAGCTGGTAATACTTTTTTTTTCAAAAATGTATTGCTGGTAATAATTTTTTCCAAAATGCATTGCTGGTAATTTTTTTTTTTTCAAAAATGTATTGCTGGTAATAATTTTTTTTCAAAAATGTATTGCTGGTAATAATTTTTTTCAAAAATGTATTGCTGGTAATAATTATTTTAAAAAGTGTATTGCTGGTAATAATTTTTTTCAAAAATGTATAGCTGGTAATATTTTTTTTTCAAAAATGTACTGCTGGTAATATTTTTTTGTCAAAAATGTATTGCTGGTAATATTTTTTTAAATGTATGCTGGTAATATTTTTTTTCAAAAATGTATTGCTGGTAATATTTTTTTCAAAAAATGTATTGCTGGTAATATTTTTTTTGAAAAAATGTATTGCTGGTAATATTTTTTTTCGAAAAATGTATTGCTGGTAATATTTTTTTTCAAAAACTGTATTGCTGGTAATATTTTTTTTCAAAAATGTATTGCTGGTAATATTTTTTCCAAAAATGTATTGCTGGTAATATTTTTTTTTCAAAAATGTATTCCTGGTAATATTTTTTTTCAAAAAATGTATTGCTGGTAATATTTTTTTTGAAAAATGTATTGCTGGTAATATTTTTTTTTCAAAAAATGTATTGCTGGTAATAATTATTTTAAAAAGTGTATTGCTGGTAATAACTTTTTTCAAAAATGTATAGCTGGTAAAATTTTTTTTTAAAAAATGTACTGCTGGTAATATTTTTTTTCAAAAATGTATTGCTGGTAATATTTTTTTAAATGTATGCTGGTAATATTTTTTTTCAAAATCTGTATTGCTGATAATATTTTTTTTCAAAAAATGTATTGCTGGTAATATTTTTTCCAAAAATGTATTGCTGGTAATAATTATTTTTCGAAAAATGTATGCTGGTAATATTTTTTTGAAAAAATGTATTGCTGGTAATATTTTTTTTTCGAAAAATGTATTGCTGGTAATATTTTTTTTCAAAAACTGTATTGCTGGTAATATTTTTTTTCAAAAACGTATCGCTGGTAATATTTTTTCCAAAAATGTATTGCTGGTAATATTTTTTTTCAAAAACTGTATTGCTGGTAATATTTTTTTTCAAAAACGTATCGCTGGTAATATTTTTTCCAAAAATGTATTGCTGGTAATATTTTTTTTTCAAAAAATGTATTGCTGGTAATATTTTTTTTTAAAAAAAAATGTATTGCTGGTAATATCTTTTTTTTGAAAAATGTATTGCTGGTAAGATTTTTTTTTTTTTGAAAAATGTACTGCTGGTAATATTTTTTTTTGAAAAATGTATTGCTGCTAATATTTTTTTCAAAAATGTATTGCTGGTAATATCATTTTTCAAAAATGTATTGCTGATAATATTTTTTTTCAAAAATGTACTACTGCTAATAATTTTTTATCAAAAATAAGTTGATGGCAATATTTTTCAAAAAATTTATTGCTGGTAAAATTTTTTTTTTTAAATCTACTACTGGTAATAATTTAAAAAAAAAAGTATTGCTGGTATTAAAACAAATATTTATACTTTCGCTGTTTTTGACACCTTTTTTAGGGTTGATTTTTTTTCCATTGCTGGGGCCCTGGTAGTTGCTACCACCCCGGGTTAGCGTGGATCTTATCGTCTTACCCAGGACAGTGATGTAGCTTATCTTCTTACCCAGGACAATGGGTGCATTCGCCATTGTCAGTAGCTAAGAATGAGTAATTGAATATCATGTGGGATACGATTATCTTGACTGACAAGCGCTGGAGTGCAATCGCCCTGATATAATATTTGTGCACAAGATCAGCTAAGAATGGATCCTGGCAAACGTTGCAGTACTTTGGGATAAGGACATACCGATGGTGGAACAGAGGTACCAAGACCTGTCAGGTCAAATCAGTTAAATATACCAGGCAGCTGCACAAGTTGTTCCTTTTGTGGCTGATATCTCTCTGCCTCCCAGAATGCTTTAGAGATTTCTGACAGCATTGGGCGTGCGAAGGTGGAAGCGCTGCTTGGAAAAATTGATGTGCTGAAAGTATTGTCTTCCTAAGATGCTGAGTAGGGTAGGTGTAGGATAGGGTAGGTGTAGGGTAGGGTAGGTGTAGGTAAGAGTAGGTGTAGGGTAGGTTTAGGGTAGATGTAGGGTAGTGTAGGTGTAGGGAAGAGTAGGTGTACGATAGGTTTAGGGTAGATGTAGGGTAGTGTAGGATAGTGTAGGTGTAGGGTAAGTGTAGGGTAGGGTAGGTGTAGAGTAGGTGTAGGGTAGGGTAGGTGTAGGTTAGGTGTAATGGAGGGGATGTGTAAAGATAGGGTAGGGTATGTGTAGATTAGGTGTAGGATAGGGTAGATGTAGGGTAGGTGAAAAGGAGGGTAGGTGTAGGGTAGGGTAGGGAAGGTTTATGGTAGGTGTAGCGTAAGGTAGGTTTAGGGTAGTGTAGGTGTAGGGTAGGTGTAGGGTAAGGTAGGTGTAGAGTAGGTGTAGGGTAGGGTAGGTGTAGGTTAGGTGTAAAGGAGGGTAGGGTAGGTGTAGGTAGGATAGGTGTAGGGTAGGGTTGGTGTAGGTTAGGTGTAAGGGAGGGGAGGTGTAGGAATAGGGGTGGGGTATGTGTAGAGTAGGTGTGGGATAGGGTGGGTGTGGGGTAGGTGTAAAGGAGGGTGGGTGTAGAGGGGGTGGGTATATAGTGGGTGTGGGGTGGTGTGGGTCTAGGGTAAGGGTGGGGTGGGTGTAGGGGAGTGGGGTGTGGGGTGTGGGTGTGGGGTGGGTGTGGAGGTGGGGTGGGTGTGGGGTGGGGTTGGTGTGGGTTGGAGAATGGGACAGGGTGGGGTGTGTGTGTGGGTGGGATAAGGTGGGTGTGGGGTAGGTGTGTGTGTGGGGTGGGTGTGGGTGGGTGGGGAGGGGGCCGTAGGTGTGGGGTGGGGTTAGGTGTAAGGGAGGAGGTGTAGGGATGGGTGGGGTATGTGTATAGTGGGTATAGGATAGGGTAGGTGTAGGGTAAGTGTAAAGGAGGGTAGGTGCAAAGGAGGTTAGGTGTAGGGTAGGATAGGTGTATGGTAAGTATAGGATAAGGTAGGTTTAGGGTAGTGTAGGTGTAGGGTAGGGTTGGTGTAGGTTAGGAGGTGTAAGGACAGGGTAGGGTATGTGTAGAGTAGGTGAAGGATAAGGTAGGTGTAGGGTAGGTGTATGTGTAGGGTAGGTGTAGGTAGGGTAGGTGTAGAGTAGGTGTAGGGTTGGTGTAAGTTAGGTGTAAGGGAGGGGAGGTGTAGGGATAGGGTAGGGTATGTGTATAGTAGGTATAGGATAGGGTAGGTGTAGGGTAGGTGTAAAGGAGGGTAGGTGCAAAGGAGGGTAGGTGTAGGGTAGGATAGGTGTATGGTAAGTATAGGATAAGGTAGGTTTAGGGTAGTGTAGGTGTAGGGTAGGTGTAGGGTAGGTGTGGGGGGGGTAACTGTATGTGTAGAGTAGGTGTAGGATAGGGTAGGTGTAGGGTAGGGTAGGATTGGGGTAGGTTAGGTGTAAGGGAGGGGAGGTGTAGGGATAGGGTAGGGTAGGTGTAGGTGTAGGTGTAGGGTAGGTGTAGGTAGGGTAGGTGTAGGGTAGGGTTGGTGTAGGGTAGGGTTGGTGTAGGTTAGGAGGTGTAAGGACAGGGTAGGGTATGTGTGTAGAGTGGGTGAAGGATAAGGTGGGTGTGGGGTGGGTGTATGTGGGGTGGGGTGTGGGTGGGGTGGGTGTAGAGTGGGTGTGGGGTTGGTGTAAGTTAGGTGTGGGGTTGGGGATGGGGTAATGTGTATAGTAGGTGTGTGGGATAGGGCTAGGTGTGGGGTGGGTGTAAGGGGGTAGGTGCAAGGGAGGAGGGTAGGTGTGGGGTGGGATAGGTGTATATGGGATGGGATAAGGTGGGTTTAGGGTGGTGTGGGTGTAGGGTGGGTGTAAAGTGGGGTAACTGTATGTGCAGAGTAGGTGTAGGATAAGTTAGGTGTAGTGTAGGATAGGTGTATGTTTAGTGTTAGGTGTAGGTAGGGTAGGTGTAGAGTAGGTGTTGGGTAGGGTAGCTGTATGTGTAGGGTAGGTGTAGGTAGGGTAGGTGTAGAGTAGGTGTAGGGTAGCTGTATGTGTAGGGTAGGTGTAAGGGAGGGGAGGTGTAGGGATAGGGTAGAGTACGTGTAGAGTAGGTGTAGGATAGGGTAGGTGTAGTTTAGGTGTAAAGGAGGGTAGGTGTAAAGGAGGGTAGGTGTAGGGTAGGGTAGGTGTATGGTAGGTGTAGGTTAAGGTAGGTTGGGCAGGTGTAGAGTAGGGTGGGTGTAGGGTAGGGTAGGTGTAGGGTATGGTAGGTAGTGAGATTTGATCATCATCCTGATAAAACATAGGTGTAGGGTAGGGTAGGGTAGGTGTAAGGTAGGTGTAGGGTAGGTGTCGGTTACAGTAGGTGTCGGTGTAGGGTAGGTGTAGGTAGGGTAGGTGTAGGAGTAGGTGTAGTGTCAGGTAGGTAGTGAGATTTGATCATCATCCTGATAACAATTTTAAGTGTCGGTGGAGGGGATATCAAAAAAGCAATAAAAAAAACAATTGTATTAACCAAATATATAAATTATTTTGGCATTATTTTAATCTCAGTGTCGTTCTTTTCATCCTCTCTTAAAAAAACTTCCCAGATATTTAATTTTCTGCATTTGTTTGATTTTGGTATGTCCGATTTGCAGTTGGCACTTTGGTTTACCTCTTTTGCTAACAACCATGTATTCTGTTTTCTTGAACTTGATGTTTAGTTCTTTCTTCTCACTTTCCTTCATTACCTTCTTTAAGAGTTTTTGTAGTTTCCTGTCTGTATCTGCTATCAACATTGTGTCATCTACATATCTTATGTTGTTAAGATTGTAGCCATCCATAATGAATCCCGATAGGGCTTGCAATTCTCTCTGAATCGCCTTGCTGTATAGGCTGAATAAGTCCGGTGAGAAGACACACCCTTGCCTTGAAACACTTTCTATTCACTGTCTACTTATCATCTGGCTGTCCATTCTTGACAGCAAAGGAATTGCACAGTAAAAGAAAGCATTGTGTCTCTAAGGTGTAGGGTAGGTTAGGTTAAGGGTAGGGTAGGTGTAGGGTAGGGTAGATAGTGAGATTTAATCATTATCCAGATAAAAGATTTAAGAGTCGGGGGTGGGTATCAAAACAGCAATAAAAGAATTGTATTGACCAAATATATAAATTATTTTGGCAATATGTTAATCTCAGTGTCGTTCTTAAAACATTTCCCAGATATTTAATTTTCTGCACTTGTCTGATTTTGGTATGTCCGATTTGCAATTGGTACTTTGGCCTGACCCTTTTGCTGACAACCATGTGTTCTGTTTTCTTGCAGTTGATGTTTAGTCCCTTCTTCTCGCTTTCCTTCATTGCCTTCTGTAGAAGTTCTTGTAGTTTCCTTTATGTGTCTACTATCAACACTGTGTCATCTGCATATCTTGTTAAGATTGTGGCCACCAGTAATGAATTCTGGTTGAAGTTCTAGTTCTCTCAGAATCGCCTCGCTGTATGTATTGAATAAGTCCGGTGAGAAGACACATCCTTGTCTTGTACCCATTTCTATTCGCTATCTACTTAGCATCTGGCTGTCCATTCTTGACAGCAAAGGAATTGGACAGTATATCCACTAGAAGATACGTCTGTATTACTTGTTGCCGAAATATGGTATGAACATCACCCACAACAAGTCATAAAAAGATATGAAATCATTTTTTACAGAATGCAGATGTTTTGCCAAGAGGGCCATCGATTGGTCAGAATACCTCGCGAGAATGATATTATGAAAATGATGGATTGCCTTTGTCTAATCGTGTAAACCCCTCCTTGGGGGAGTTTGTAACACATCAATTTATCATCTCTCAGTTGCTTCTCTGTCTTTGGGCAGAGTGCACTCAGGGGCCATTCCGTCAAAGGAAAGAGTCGCAACTGAGAAAAATTATACAGAAGGGTTCCCATCCCTGGAGAACAGATGCTCGAGACCGCGCACCAGAGAGAGGGATCGGTGCGCGCACCGAGGCCAGCGCAACCAACGGTTGCAGGGGCTTCGGGCAATTTTTGTTCCGTGCCCGGGTGTACACGCTTGGGTCCCCACCTTAAAAAAAAGACCTTGTGTCACAACACGTCTTAGTGGGGAGACAGAGTAAATACCTTGTCTAAGTTTTGTTAGATATAATACAAAATGACGCAAAGTCGGCAGAAGGCCGCAGGAAACTTGAAGCGTCGATATGATTTTCACACCAAGATTCCACAGACGAGCCTAGGCCGCACGTGGTGTAACGCTAAGCCAACGAGCGAGCATTCTTTCCGCTACCTCCGACAATCGACGCTACCATATCTGTCCCTCACGTATAATCAAACGAGTGATTCTTTTTTCATGGCTTATCAACCATTTAAAAGTTATTTAAACCCAGAAAACTTTTTAGATTGTAAGTTTTCATTGTTAGTTAATAATTGTTTAGTGATAAAAGTCTTACTATTTAACCCATAGCTGCGAAGGAGAAGAGGGGGTATACATTTCCCCAGGATATTTGCGCAAAAGTGAATACAACGAACCTAACGGGAATTAAATCTCTGCTCTCAGAATAATAATTACGCCTCACGCACATCCAAGATTACAGCACCTGGTATTCCCAAGCGGTCACTCATTAAGATACTAACCAGGCTCAGCGTTGCTTAACTTTCCAATCTGATGTGGCCGTTCATATCACGGAAAGATCTGACATTGTTTGAGGTAGATACAGTTGATTTCCATAAACGTTTCCTAACACAGGAGAAGTGCTGGGGTTAATCTGTTTGAGGCAGAGACTATTCATGCTATGGAAACACTCCTCTCCTGATCCAAGTAAGGCCAAAATCGTTTCATCTACAGGGATGTTGATGACCTCAGTTTAGGATACAAACACTACATTGCGTTTATAGACTTCAAGAGGGTCACACCATAAATGGAGCAGACTATGCCAACTTGCTGGAGCAGCTGCGAAAGTCTACCAAGACCAAACGCACAGGAAAATGGACGAATGTTACTTTTTCGTCAAGATAAACCTCCAGCACATGTCCATGGCGACAATGGTTGCTGAACGTAACAGTGGCATTGGACTGGATGAGCATCCAAACTATACTCCTGTTTTGACTATCATCTGTTTCCCAACATGAAAAAATACATGGCTAGAAATCAGTATCACAGTGAAGATGACGTCATATCTGCTGGTGGTGACGTTTTCGCCAACAGGATGAACAGTCTTGTTCGCACAGTCAGATGACAGTTTACCTGGGAAGAAACAATGCAGTTATTAATAAGAAGAGTTGAAATTAATGCATTCAAGATTTCACAGCTCTAGCATCAACCCTTCATAGTCAGCCTATGAACATTTTTCCCACCCTCGTACCTGGAAAAAAACAAATGCTGTTATAATTAAGATAATAATATTTTGAACAGGAGTATAGGTTTATCCTTTATTTCCTCTTTAGGATTAGGTTTCCGATTTTTTTTCCCCAAAGTGTTCTCTTCTTCTTTCCTCTTTCATTCTCATCTTATCGCCTATCTTGTAATGAAAGGATTACAAAAAATCTTTTTTTAAACATTTATAATATGCAGATACTAGTCGCAATGTGCTTATTGAATTATCAAAATACCAAGACCAACTACAATACAATATTTATTATTTACCATTTTATCCGTCTTGGGTAAGACGATAAACTCCTACCGCGTCCTGGGTAAGACGATAAACTGCGTCCTACTTCAAGGCCTTTGATCAGGAGGTTTTGAGTGGTGTGAAACGACCTCTTAATTGCCGGTTTTCCCAGGTCCACCTTGACCCAGGATATTATCATCTGTTAGGGTCCCAGCTATGGGCAAATAGTTAACCCTAAACTGGAGTCAAAAGACTATGGAAGTGTAAAAATTGGTTTTAATACCAGAAATACTTTCTTGTAAAAAAATATTATCAGAAATACATTCTAACCATCTATACATTTTAGAAAATAAAATATTACCAGCTATACATTTTCTGAAAAAGAATATTAGTTAATACATATTATATAATATATTATATTAATAATACATTTTTGAAGAAAAAAAACATTACCAGCAATAAACATTGGATGAAAAAAATATTACCAGCAATACATTTTTGGGAAAAAAATATTACAAGCAATAAAGAATTTTGTTGGCATTGAGGTTGATATGCCCTAAAACAAAACAAAACAAACAAAAAATTTACCATTTTATAAATAACTATAAAAAATACTATTTGACTAAAAAGCAATAAATTTTGTATAGACACCCTTCAATTGGTATTGTTTTGATCGTTTTTTTTTTTTTGTTTTTATAAAAAAACTATTTGACTAAACTAATCTTTAATCTATAAATTTTGTATTTGACTTAAAGATTAGACATATTACCCTTTAATTGGTATTGTTTTTGATCGTTTTTTTTTTTGGAAAGGTTTTTTTCTCCCAAATCTAGCTGGCAAACTCTCCTGATTTCAAAAACAGAAAAGGCTATCTTGATGGGGAGCCATGGAAAAGTCGGGATTATTAACCAACCATTAGTCAGGTAGTCACACTATGACATTATGTTTTTTTAGGATCATATAATGACAATCTGTGGACATAATTGAGACATAATCTGTAACATTAAAGATTTGCAGATTTGACTTAAAGATTAGAGTGGTTTAAATTACTAATAAGAAAAAGGGAGGCAAGAAATTCAGAAAATTAAGATTAATGGATAGCAAGGCTCATCTAAGAAATTCACTGAGGAATCAGAGAGTCAGAAAAAATCCATTAATATTCAAGCTATCTAAGTTCTAAGACCCTTTTGAAAAGGTAAAATGGAAAGAAATACTTCTTCTCCCAAATATCTAGGACAGACTGGATTATTACTACTAGCCTAAAATGGGTACTAGTCAAAAAATGAATAATAATTGACAAATCTAAGAAATTCAGGTCTACTTGGTGGAAAAGGAAAATAAAATGATTTCAAAACAGAATAATAATTGCCTGGAGGAAATTCAGAATACTCAATCAGGCTATCTTGGCCAAAAAAAAATAATTGACACCACTGCAGCTACAGTACACATGGAAAAGCAAGAGAAATAAAATGAAAGAAATACTAGTCAAAATGATGTAAAAAAACAACGACTTATTAAATACTTGGTGGAAAAAATGTCTAGTCAAAAATGAATAATAATTGACAAGGCTTCATCTAAAAATTCAGACAACTTAGACTATTACTACTTGACATTAAAGTTTTTAAAATCAGGAAATACTATCAAAATTGAAAATAATTGACAAGGATTCATCTGGTTCTTTAACATTCAAGAGATTGAGAAGAAATACTGTCCAAAAATGAATAATATTGACATTATCTAAATTAGAATAAAAGCAAGAGAAAAGCAAGAATGAAAGAAATACTAGTCAAAATGAATAATAATTGCCAAGGCTTCATCTAAGAAATTCAGAATACTTAAGACTATTACTACTTGGTTGAAAAGCAAGAGAAATAAGATGAAAGAAATACTAGTCAAAATGAATAATAATTGACAAAAGCTTCATCTAAGAAATTCAGACAAATTAAGATTATTACTACTTAGTGGAAAAGCAAGAGAAATAAAATGAAAGAAATACTAGTCAAAAATGAATAATAATAATTGACAAGGCTTCATCTAAAAATTCAGACAACTTAAGACTATTACTACTTGGTGGAAAAGCAAGAGAAATAAAAAATAAAGTCAAAAATGAATAATAATTGCTAAGTTCATCAAAATGAATAATAATTGAAAAGCAAGGATTACTAGTCATCTAAGAAATTCAGACAAATTAAGACTATTACTACTTGGTGGAAAAGCAAGAGAAATAAAATGAAAGAAATACTAGTCAAAAATGAATAATAATTGACAAGGCTTCATCTAAGAAATTCAGAATACTTAAGACTATTACTACTTGGTGGAAAAGCAAGAGAAATAAAATGAAAGAAATACTAGTCAAAAATGAATAATAATTGCCAAGGCTTCATCTAAGAAATTCAGAATACTTAAGACTATTACTACTTGGTTGAAAAGCAAGAGAAATAAGATGAAAGAAATACTAGTCAAAAATGAATAATAATTGACAAAGCTTCATCTAAGAAATTCAGACAAATTAAGATTATTACTACTTAGTGGAAAAGCAAGAGAAATAAAATGAAAGAAATACTAGTCAAAAATGAATAATAATTGACAAGGCTTCATCTAAGAAATTCAGACAACTTAAGACTATTACTACTTGGTGGAAAAGCAAGAGAAATAAAATGAAAGAAATACTAGTCAAAAATGAATAATAATTGACAAGGCTTCATCTAAGAAATTCAGACAACTTAAGACTATTACTACTTGGTGGAAAAGCAAGAGAAATAAAATGAAAGAAATACTAGTCAAAAATGAATAATAATTGACTAGGTTTCATCTAAGAAATTCAGAAACCTAAGACTATTACTACTTGGTGGAAAAGCAAGAGAAATAAAATGTACTAGTCAAAATGAATAATAATTGAAAAATCTAAAAATTCAGACAAGACTATTACTACTTGGTGGAAAAAACAAGAAATAAAATGAAAAAATACTAGTCAAAAATGAATAATAATTGACAAGGATTCATCTAAGAAATTCAGACAACTTAAGACTATTACTACTTGGTGGAAAAGCAAGAGAAATAAAATGAAAGAAATACTAGTCAAAAATGAATAATTATTGATAAGGTTTCATCTAAGAAATTCAGACAACTTAAGACTATTACTACTTGGTGGAAAAGTAAAAGAAATAAGATGAAAAAATACTAGACAAAAATGAATAATAATTGACAAGGTTCCATCTAAGAAATTCAGACAACTTAAGACTATTACTACTTGGTGGAAAAGCAAGAGAAATAAGATGAAAGAAATACTAGTCAAAAATGAATAATAATTGACAAAGCTTCATCTAAGAAATTCAGACAACTTAAGACTATTACTACTTGGTGGAAAAGCAAGAGAAATAGGATGAAAGAAATACTAGTCAAAAATGAATAATAATTGACAAGGTTTCATCTAAGAAATTCAGACAACCTAAGACTATTACTACTTGGTGGAAAAGCAAGAGAAATAAAATGAAAGAAATACTAGTCAAAAATGAATAATAATTGACAAGGCTTCATCTAAGAAATTCAGACATCCTAAGACTATTACTACTTGGTGGAAAAGCAAGAGAAATAAGATGAAAGAAATACTAGTCAAAAATGAATAATAATTGACAAGGTTTCATCTAAGAAATTCAGACAACTTAAGACTATTACTACTTGGTGGAAAAGCAAGAGAAATAAAATGAAAGAAATACTAGTCAAAAATGAATAATAATTGACAAGGCTTCATCTAAGAAATTCAGACAACCTAAGACTATTACTACTTGGTGGAAAAGCAAGAGAAATAAAATGAAAGAAATACTAGTCAAAAATGAATAATAATTGACAAGGTTTCATCTAAGAAATTCAGACAACTTAAGTCTATTACTACTATAATTGACAATTCAGCAAAATTGTGACTCTTCTAGACAAATATTAATAGTTGATAGTTTAATCTAAATTATTTCTTCCCTTACCCCCCGCCCGCACCTCAACTCCAGGGCTTACCCTGTCGCTATCGACACAAACGTTACTGCAAAAGCAACTTGATATATTTATATCATAATTCCCTCCCTTGACATAAAGGTTTACGTAAACATCAGTTTATAATAATAATCGTTATTATTATTTACATCTGTGTTTTTGATGTTTGCGTTTATCGCGGTATAAGTAGATATTCGCGCCACTGCACAGTCACATGATAACATGGAAGACAGACGCCCCTTTTTTATACGTCGAATCGGGTTTTATGGACATTAAAGTTTACGACAAAAAACAATTAGGCGACCGGAAGTGTCTCGCCCAATGACATCATCCGTGAAGTCAATGGTTGATTATTTCGACAGTTTTCTCCAGAGAAAACATACAAAGCATTACTATGTCGTCTGTCAATGGATCTATAATAATCAGCCGTATAGCTAATTTATCTATCTATCTATCTATCTATCTATCTATCTATCTATCTATCTATCTATCTATCTATCTATTTCAGTCTGTTCATATCTATCTATCTATCTACCTATCTATATCTGTTTATATGTCTATCTCTCTTTTTTCTCGATATCTATCTATCTATCTATCTATCTATCTATCTATCTATGTGTACATATGTAGCTATCTATCTAGCTAGCTATCTAGCTATCTAGCTATCTATCTATATTTGTTCATATCTCTATCTATCTCTTATTTCTCCATATCTATCTATCTATCTATCTATCTATCTATCTATCTCTCTCTCTCTCTCTATATATATATATATATATATATATATATAATCTCTTCATATCTATCTATCTATCTATCTCAATCTGTACATCTCTCTCTCTCTCTCTCTCTCTCTCTATCTATCTATCTATCTATCTATCTATCTCCTCGCTATCAGCATGTCTATTGTAGTACACATTATCACACCCTATGATAATCCACTCTTTGCTTAATATCGTTTATTACCATTAAGCGATAATAATCACACTAGAAAGCGATTTACTGGTGACGTCACCTCAGATTTCTGTTGGTGGTCGTCCAGAATGGCGTCGCCAGACAATGTTTTTAAAACACGCTTTACTCTGTGACTATGTTTTTGCTTTCCTTCCGTCCCCAACCACCGCCATTACATACATTAAAAGCCACCAATCCCCCACCAGAAAAGCAGAAGAAATCACATGTAAAGAAAGAAAATAGTCGTGTAATTAACGTTTATGCTCTTGTAAAAGTCGAGTTTTTCTTTTCTTTTTCCCTTTTTTTTTTACGAGCGCGTTTTTTCGGCAGGGAAGCCTTTCTGAGTTCCATTTCTTTTGCGATACGATGAGGACATTTTAGAACTTTCTCAGCTTCTTCATCTTTAACTATCTTCGTCTATATTCTTCTTAGAATCTTTTATTATTTCTCAAACTACCTCACTCACTTCCTCTCTCATACACTCTCTCTTCTGTCTCTCCCTTCTTTCTGTCTAACCACCCACTCTCACCTCTCTCTCTCTCTCTCTCCTCATCTCTCTCTCTCTCCATCTCTCTACCCTCTCTCTTCTGGCCCCTTTCTCCTTCTCACTGAATATGAGATCTCCGGCAGGATTCGAACTTGCGTCAAATACGATACAGGGCAGATATGATAATTTCGAGTAATCTATGACGATGTCTTCTCTCTGCCACAGGTTCGAATCCTGCCGGAGAGTGCATATTTTCCTTTAATAATATTTCTTGAATATTTAGGCCAGTAGACGAAAATAAATATACTGTTTGATAAATAAACGGATCGTCTAATCAAACACTGATATCCATCAAATGTAACGTTTTATGTGACAAGCACCATAAGATTATTGTCCCTCACTTATATTATTTCAAGATTGTTGCATTCAAATATTTGAAGGACATCAATATATATATATATATATATATATATATATATATATATATATATATATATATATATATGTGATGTCCTGCAAAGATTTGAATGCAACAATCTTGAATTGTTGCATTCAATATATATATATGTATAAACAACATTTGGCCGCACACACAATTCCGTAAAATTCTTGTCGAAAACACAATTATACTTCAACATGAAAACAATAGACAAAAACTAAAAATCCTTGAAGCAATATACATCAAACAGTTCAAACCTAACCTAAACAAAACCAACTATGGAATCTCTAAAAATATCCTTAAATGTCTATAATTGGTAACAGAAGCCATTGGTTTATACCAACGGCTTTCCATACTTCATACTTCTCCAATTCATCTCGCGTGGTCATGTGTGACATCATGAGCTGCGGTGCGATTTTCGCTTCCAGCGTCTTATATGCACGTGTTTATCGTTGCTAGGAAATCATCCATGTAAACAATCACAGACTATCATCACTGTCTTGTCCGTATATTGCTTAATATGTTGCACAGTAATTGTCATCTTTGATAATGGCTTATGTAAGCCGAAAGCTTAGATTGGATTAAAAAATATGGATCAATATTGTGATTTTCTTTCTTCCTTTAATGATAATGTTATTAAGCTTATCAGATGTTATGAAAAGAATTTACATAAAATAAATAGATAACACTTGTCTATATTATTTAATGGAACATGTATGAATGAAAAATGCTGCCTAAATACACACAATATATATATATATATATATATATATATATATATATATATATATATATTTTAAGCGTTTCACCCCAAGCAAGGCGGAAAGCAACTAGGACGCAAGGGGTTACAGAAAATTTGGAACAAGGTCAGATAGGAGTGATAGAAGAAAGGATGAGGACAAGGGTAGTAGATAGATCAACGCAACTAGAGATACAGAGGCCAGTGAGAGAGAGAGAGAGAGAGAGAGAGAGAAATAGAAACACCGAAAACCCTTCCTAAACAAGAAACAAGTCGTAAACCTATATATATTAAAATATATATATATATATATATATATATATATATATATATATTGCCTCAAGCCGGAATCGAAACCCGACAGTCGGAGATTCTACGCCTAAGCCATTGGCAGGGATGAGGGTGAATATAGACGTATTTATTTTAGACTAACACGCCAGTGAAAGGAGAATTCTATTCGTCTTAACAAAGAGACTTGCATCAGTAGCATTAATAGTCACTGTTTACAAATTCACTTTTCTCCGCGAAGAGTTCAACTGAAATATTTTTCAGGATATACATATATATATATATATATATATATATATATATATATATATGAAAACTATATAAATAATATATATATATATATATATATATATATATATATATATATATATAAAAATCAATGCATGAATAATTAAACAAAATAAAATTAAAATATTAAATAATTATTACATTAAAAATAAGTTACATTCCCTTACACATTTCAAAGATTTCTCAAATTTAAAATTTGCAAATTAGCGTCACAGACATGTCTTTTAGATAAATTTACATTCTCTGGAATATATATGCATAGAAACCATCATGGCTACAAATTGAGGGATCAATTTGTATATTGTTGTCATATAAAATTGATCCCCCACTTTATATCCACATCATAATTCTGATTAGGTATGAATCCACCTTTTCTCCCCCAGCTATGGGTTAATTAGTAAGACTTGTCCCACTCAACCATCATTATCTCCCTAAAAATATTTTTTACAATCTAAAAATATTTCCTGTCTTTAAATAACCTGCAGGTATCAAATAACTCCTGTATATTTGAATTTCTTTCTTTCTTTCGCTGTTGCTAAACCCAAGCTTACCATTCTCCCTGTTACTACCAGGAAAATGACCGCTCTATCATATGCCGATCTCTCTCTCTCTCTCTCTCTCTCTCTCTCTCTCTCTCTCTCTCTCTAG